TCCACTCACTTTGACATTTGAGAAATTGAGAAGGGATAGGAGGAGGAAGAGGAAAACAGCTGTGCTTGTATCTTCATCTGGGGGCCTGTTTCGCTTGCAAGGTTCCCATTTTTCTTCATGTGTACAGCCTGATTCAATTTCTTTTCTAAGCGTTTTTTAAAAAAACCGAAATAGCCATATTAGTCTTTATTCCTGATAAATAGGCCTTCATTTATTTTAAGTTTAGATTTGCTTGCTAGAGTCATTTTTCATTTTATACTATTTATTCTTCTGGCTGTTTTAAACCTTACTGCTTATTTATATGTTTTAATTGTTTCTTTTTTTGTATTTTTAAAGCTGCCCAGAGTCTAATGGAGTAAGCAGCCATAGCAAATTTAATAAACTGAACTGAATTGAATTAGGCAGCGTACAGTGCCACTGGATGAGTAAACCATATTATCATACAAAATTTATTTTCTGTGCTTACATGATGAATTAAGGGTGTCTTAAGATTAATATACTGTCTCCAGGACTTTTCTTTTGACTAAAAGAAAATTCAAAAAACATATATAATGGGAAAGGTTGCTTAACCCTTTTCCTTTAAAATTCTTTTCTCCTTGCATTTTAAAGATCAGGTATCAGTTACAAGAATTTCAAGATTATTTGTTAATTAAACCTAATATCATATAACAAAAACAGACACCCTGTAGAACAATTTATACCAGTCATGTAAGAGTCAACGGGATTCATTTAAGCAGGTAATGCTCAAATTATATCATTTGTTTTTACTCCCACATTCCAGCCATAGTGCCACAGATGATTGTCATACAAGAACTCAGATACTTCTAAATAGTAGAGATAAATTATTCTTCTGAAAAAAGACTGCATAAAACAATTGAATGAAAATTCATCAATTTCATCTTTGTCATTTAAAAAGTAATACCACTCACCTTGGCAGCGAATCATATAGAACAGAGGTCCCCAACCTTTTGGTCACCAGGGACCGGTTATGTGGAGAGAGGTATTTCCACGGACCAGAGGGGGCGTGGTTTTGTGTGCTGCCTACATCTTGCAGATAGGGCTTTGCTTGTTTGTGTGGCCCGGTTGCTGTCATGCCACGGCCCAGTACCGGTCCACGGACCGGGGGTTGGGGACCCCTGATATAGAAGGATTGCCTTTTATTTTCATGCTGGAAAAACTGCAAATTCTGAATAAGCAAAAGGAGCACTTGAACATGTGAGAACCACTAAGGGATAAGACTGGTTCTTGCCAAAGGCTTTCCGTAGCAAAGTTATTATTTCTTGCAGTATTATTATTAAATATATATTCCACTCTTCCGCATACATACAGAAGTAGGAGTTTCCTTGAGTTATTTCTGAGGCAGTTTTGATTCAACAAACACCAGTGTCAATTATGTTAATTATGACTTAAATTATGAAATTTAAATCAGGCCAGCAACCTTTCTTTCCAGACAATATCGCCCAATTTGTGATTCAAAACAGATTAATGAGATACTCTTATTTTATTTTTATTTTTTTCTTTTAAAAATGTTTCTGTTCAAAAGAAAGGCAATTTTTAAGATGTTAGGATGTAAAAACTTAGGATGGATTCCATGGTGCACGTGTGGAAGCAGTTGATGAGAGAATGATTATCCTTTCTCCTACATCTACCCTCATCCCCACCCAGATCACGTTTTGAAGCGCATAGAGGATCGTGGAATTTTTGGTGCCCTCTGGGCTTGGTTGTTTGCTTGCAGACATTTCATCACCCAACTAATAAACATCATCAGTGTGAGTAAATGTTTATATATAATAGCTTGCTCCGCAAGTTTAGGCAAGGGTGCGCTTTCCTTCTTCGTGGCTCATACTTGATTAAAGTATTGTATTCTCCCTGTTTGCCTGTAGTTGATCCCTTCTTATTGGCATGGTGGTGCTGGTTTCTAGTCTTGTTTTTTTCCTAGTTTTTTTTATTGTCTCTTTTGAATAGTATGTAAATGTAAAGCTATAGAGAACTGAAGGAGAGAAAAAGAAGAAAGTTCCACTCAAAAGCTTTGGTTTCTGTTCTTCTTTCAAAGGGTAAATTGAAATATAATGACAGTACTGATGGTAATATAGTTTTAAGGAGAACTTATTTTGCATTTGAGGCTAACTGTATTTGTGAAATCTTAAGCTAAACTTTGCTGGTGTGGGAATTAGTTCAGGAGTTTGTTCATTTGTACATTCTCTTGCATTGCCTTTTTTGCTTTGAGTATGTAACTTTTCTATCTTCTGGCCTGCATAGTTTTATTCCATATTTGTTTAGATAGACATTAGCTCTTTGATTGACTCTTATAAGTTATATCTGTATTTTGGCTTTCTTATTTAATATATAGTGGCATGCTGAACTGACTTTTGTACATGGCCAACACATGATCAAATCTGGAAATATTCCTAAACTAACTGTTGGAGTATCTGCAATTTATGGGAATCAATTTCCAATTTAATTTGGATTAGAATAAAACCCATGTTAATTAAATTTTAGTGGAGATCTCATTGTGATGATATTTAAGACTCTCATTAAAATGAATCATAAGCTTGTCAGGAGCCTCTCCAGCCCACTGAGTGAGTATGAAGTGAATATTATTTTCTTGCTCTTTTCATTAATTACAAGCAGTGGCATGTAGTACATCTTAGGGCATTAATAAAAAAAATTAAACATCTGGATTAAAGTTCTGTTCAATTCATTCTCCATAGCTGAAAACATTCAAAGTGTCTGCCCAACTCCAGTCCATCTAATATGCCTATAATGAGCATCCCAATTTATTGCAAATAAATGAATTGAAATGCAGAACGAAGCACATCAAAATTGCCTGTCAGCGGCACAATCTTACACATAATGTATGCAATTAAATAGCTCCACTTTGTCTTTAGAAAGCCAGAAGATTGTTAATATAAACAGTACGTGTTTATATCTTTTTTGGTTTTCCACACATCACACAATCAGAAAATATCGCTAATGAAGGAGTTTTAAAGTTTTAACTTTAATAGCTATATTAAGTGGTTGCTTTTCTTTTCATCAACCTTGATGAAACATAGCATCCTTTCCATAGCTGACATAATTTGTTAATGGTTCTAACTTGGGGCAAATGTTGGTGAATCACCAGTCTCAAATCACATGCACACATACAACCTGTTATCGCTCCTTGAATTTTAACTACTGGTTAGCATTTGGACACTTGAAAGTGTTTAGAATGTTGTATATTTTCGGGTAATTTGGTGTGGTCTTAGTATGGAATTTGGGCTATTTTGACTTTTTATCTGTTAAGTGATACAATGCAGGTAAAGATATATCAATATTAAATAAGCAACAGAACTTGGTTCAACTCCATTCTACTTTTCAATGTTTATTCAGTGATGAATGGCAGTCGGCATGGAATTTATCTCAGGATGTCTGTGGCTTGCACAGATACAGTGCACAAAGCATCCAAGACCAAGAGGTTATCCACAGCTAAGCAATAATGTGTAATTATTTTTTAATGTGATATGTGAACCCATACCTTATGACTTCTTGGGATTTGTTTGCCTTATGCCATCACCTTTTCCCATCTCTCAGAAAATAATGAACTCACAAATACCACCTAGTTCAGTCCATCTCTTTTAAAATTGCAAAGAAAACATCTGATTATTTAAAACACTTTTAAGAGAAATAACCCATCAACAGTCCTTACATACACTGCATTGGGTCAAATCTGAATCACTCTTACTAGTTATTTTGCCACTGACATGGTTCTAAATTTTTTAATCTAGGAGTTGATTTGGAAAAAAATCTTTAAAACATTATAACTTGTCAAATAATGTTCTTTGAGTGCATGCTTTTTACTGGCACTGTTTAAGAAATGACAGTAAAGTAAAGTACGATGAAGACAAAATGAGATGAGACAGTTTTAACTATACAGAGGAAGATTTGGTCTTAAAATCTGCTTCATCAAGTTCTCTGAGAGCTACTGAACATGCCTGTTGGAGTGTATTCATATTGGCTTATCAGTGATAGAATGTAATATTGCAAAGCAGATTGAATTAGTAGAGTATCACTTCTAAAAGACCTACATGCTAACTACTGAGTCATGCTGCCCCTTAGTGGGGGCCAGTTCCAGTTCACAATGGGATAAAGAAATATTCAAGAACTTGTGAATAGTTATGCCTTTGCTCAACACCTTAAAAGCAAAAAAAAAAAAAAGCAAAAAAAGCCTGTTCCCTACATATATTTGTAATAATTTGATAGTATCAATCTTATAGCTGTGTCCCAGCTCAATGGAAGTCTACATTGAAGTTCAAACAAACCTTCTTCGGCTGAATCATGAAAATCAGGGAGAGGAAGGAATAAGACGGGCATTTGCATCCCATTCTCTGTCCAAATTGAAGCTGAATGCCTAAGGAAGATTATACTTATTACTCCCCTTGGAGAGAAGTAATGCAAAAATTTTCATCTCAAACTTACTTGGGATCAAAGATTAAACTTGAACCTTGATATCCTTCTTAGTGGATAATAAATATTGCCTAAGTCAAGAGCAAAAGCGTCAATATTCTTTTATTTAGGGTTATCACCTTCATCTGATTGCAATCAACACACACACACCCCGCTGCCCCAATCTAACCAGAGCACAAACATTCTTGAACCGTCTTTCAGACCAGACTCACTTTTTAACCACAAAGGCTGTGAGGTAATTTAGGTTGATACCTGATTTTGAAAGATGGAGCAGCTTGACTAACAAGGGTGGAGATTCCAATATCATTATGCAAACCCACAACCTGAACAGCAGTTAGATAGCTATGTTTAAACATGGGTTTAATACATATCATGGGAGGGAAGGAGAGTCCCATTTATGCAGCTCTAGTATCCAGTTAGCTGAAAAAGCATTAACTCTATTATAATTTGATGTATTTTCCTGGCTCTTCCAGTTTTTGAAATGTGGTCCAAACATATCAGAAAAGGCCAAAAAAACAGAGCCATCTTTTTAACATCACTACAATATATCTTTTCAGAATACTAATGAAAATGCTGAGGAAGCTGAACATAAGGATAGCTCCAAAGCAATCCCGTTAACCCAGGAGCCTTCAGAAGACAATGAAGTTTTTGGTAAGTCTCCTAATGACATTATTTTTCACACCTAAAAAATCATTTGGTATAATAAACCTGAGATCCTGTTGCAAGTTAAATAAAATCTCTTTGTGGAGATTTACAAAACATGGCAAGCTCACATCTTCCAGAGTTCCCCAAACTTTCCGGGTTGGCAGCCCAGAGTGGTGGAGGGAAGGGGGGATGATTTTGGGGGAGGGACAAGTGCATGTGTATGTGTGTGTCCACACGTGAGCGCCCACGGTGACACGCAAGTGGGACCGCAAACACCTGTGACGATGCTTGCGCAGGTGGGACTGTAAGCACCTGCAAGGCTCGCATGAGTGGGGCCACGAGTGCCCACAATGAGGCTCGTGCAAGCGGAACCACAAGTGCCTGCAATGATGTTCATATGAGTAGGGCCATGCGCAGATGGGCATGGACACACCGGCCACTCACGCAGCCTGGTGGCAATTAGACCATGGCTCGGTAGTGTGCCATGGCCCACAGGTTGGGGATCCCTGAATTAGGATATCACTTTTACAAGACCTACATACCAACATATAAATGTGGAGGAGTATGCCATCACTGTGTCTGCATATATTCAACAGTGCATTGAGGATGTCTGTGTCCTTAAAAATATTGTTGTGAGGGCTAATGAAAAAAACATGGATGACATATGAGGTTCACAAAATGTTGAAAGCACGGAATGTGGCTTTTAAATCCAGCAATATCCTGGCACTTGGGACAGCCAGAACCAATTTGAAAAGTGCCATAAAAAGAGCAACGCCAAGCCCATTGTCAGAAAGTTCAGAACTTTTTTCAGGACCTGACAAATACCAGGCATATGTGGTAAGGCATCCAGGCCATTACAAACTATAAGGAGTCTCAATTGTGTTGTAAGGGTGACACAGACTTTTTAAACGAGCTGAACACATTTTGGGGAAGATTTGAGGCATCAGGTAGCACCCCTGCAAGGAAAGCTGTGCCCCATCTTGATGAGCAAGTTCTTAGCTTTGATGTCACCTCTGTCTGGAGGACATTGTGGAAAATTAACATTTGGAAAGCAGAAGGCCCAGATAATATCCTGGGCATGTTCTTAGGTTATGTGCAGACAAGCTGGCTTGTGTTCTTACAGATATTTTCAATCTTTCATTGCAGCAGGCAATGGGTCCCATCGTGTTTTAAGACTGCCATTATTTTGGCAGTGCCAAAAAAATCTACGATTACAGGTCTTAATGATTACCATCCGGTTGCACTTACATCTATCATTATGAAAAGTTTTTAGAGGCTGATAAAAGATATTATTGTATCCAACCTCTCTCCAACATTTGACTCCCTTCTGTCCAAATCGCTCTACAGAGGATGCTATTTCTTCTGTTCTCCACTTGAACTTGGCTCACTTAGAAGAAAAAAATACTCATCTGCGAATGCTGTTTGTTGACTTCAATTTGCCGTTAAATACAATCATTCCTCAGCATCCAGTAGACACTGGGCTTTTTAGGTTTTAATACTCCTTTGTGCAATTGAATTCTTGATTTTCTTATTAATAGGCCCCAGTATGTGCAAGTTGGAATTAATATTTCTAACACCATTTTCTTGAGCACAGGTTCTCCTCAGGGCTGTGTCCTAAGTCTGCTGTTGTTCATCCTGTTGACCCATGACTGTTATGCAAGATTTGCCACCAACCATATTGTGAAGTATGCAGATGTTACAACAGTTGTGGGCCTTATTCAGGATGACAATGAGGGTGCTTACTGCAAGGAGGTAGAAGGTTTGGTGAACTGGTTTGATAAAAGCAGCCTCATCTTAAACGTAGGGAAAACTAAAGAGATCATTGTCAATTTCAGAAAAGGCAGGCATAGCCACACACCTCTATGTATTAATGATTCACTTGTAGAGGTGGTTAGCAGCATCAAATGTCTGAATGTGCAGCTAATGAGGAGGCTAGCTTGGTCACTCAACACCTGTATACAGGTGCACCTGTATTGTGCACCTGTATTTTCTGCGTCACTGTCCTTACCACTTTCTATACAGGGACAATCAAGAACATCCTGTCATATGGCATTATTGTCTGGTTTGGAAGCATTACTGCTTCATACTGGAAGGCAATACAGAGAGTGGTGAGGATGGCAGAAAAGATTATTGGTAGTTCACTTCCTTCTATCCAGGACATAGCATATAAGCAATGCTTGA